GCTATGTTGATTAGTTGTGCTTTCAGTTCTAAAAAAATATATATTTTTTAAGCGCACATATTTTTAAACTCTAATGAGGGTAGTTAACTAATTAACTAACTAATTATCGACTTTTTGCAATAAAAGGGCTAACATTTTGCTTAATAATTTATATCGTTCATAACTGTGTAACTGCTAACATTAAATCTTTGCTCAAAATTTGTTTTTTTTTAGACAAGTAGTTTAGTAGTAGTTTTTTTATTTAGACTTATTCGTTCTTCTAAAAAGTGAGAGTACTTCATTTAATCATGAAATATTGTTTGTTGCTATTGTATCGCATAGGCGATTGCCTTGCTGATGAAAATCAAGTAACTCTGAAAGAGTTTTGTCGGAGATTCACGCGAGCTGCTTTACAGGGGTGGTAGAAATCCAATCGATTCATTGATAATTTCAGAAGACTATACGGGAATTGGCTGCAAGCAAATATTCATTGGCCAAGTAGTGTGCAAACTTTACTTCATCAAGAACCAACTGCTAATGAGTTACTAGGCACACACCCAGTCTCTCAAGAACCGTCTACTTCGTCGTGTGTTGGAACAATGACCAAAAGATCACGAAAACCTTTCGAAGATCTGGAAAGCAAACAAAAAAAGAGAAGATCTGATGATCATGCAGGCGAAAATTCCAGTGAATTAGCATATGCAGCTGCAGCACGTTTGAAAGAAGAAGGGCATGATGATATCGCATCTGTAATCGAGTATATGATAAAAAATCCAGCAGCAGCCGTTACAATTAATAAAACGCTTAAGAAACCATTGAGAAAGCGTCAAAATTATTGTATTATTATTATTATTATTATTATTATTATTATTATTATTTCTTTTTTGTATTTCTTGTACTCGACTGGTGGTCGGATATTTGGAACCAGGTACGGGCCTAAGCCAAGTATTCTGGTTCGGTTGTGGTATTGTGAGGGGATGTGAGTGAGTGGTGATTTTTTGTGGAGTTTGTGAAGTCAGGTGTATTTAAGAAACGGCGGACTATTGAGCATGTGTCATTATTATTATTATTATTATTATTATTATTATTATTATTATTAAACTGAAACAAAACAAAAACTTTCAAAGTGGCAATATATTACGTTGCGAGAGGCTGTCATTCGGGAAGGTGCTGAGGGTATTTATCCATCCTACTATAAAGTGTAACAAACCAAGCTTGATTGCTATCCTCCGAAGCAATCAGTATCAGTTACGGATTCATCGGCCAGGATTATCCTTCAAGCTTTACTTGACATCACGGTGACTAGGATCCTTCAAAGTCTTTCTGATGATGTGCAAAATAAACAGCTAAAGCTAATATCTAAGTGGGGATTTGATGGTGCTTCCAACGAAAGCCGATACAAACAGAAAATGGAAGGCGAGCAAGATGATTCAAGCATTTTCATGACCACATTAGTGCCATTAAAACTGACAGATGGAGATAATACTTTATGGACGAACCCAAAATCTTGCTCTTGGCTTTGTATTGTCGTCCAGTTCTGTTTACTTTTGTAAAAGAGAGCGAAGCAGTTATCATTGACCACTTAAATTAAGACCCTTGTCCCCACAGAATGCAGTAATAGTAACAGTGTGACTCATCAACTAATGACGACAATGATCGACGGTAAAGTCTGCACTTATCTTTCTGAAGCCAGATTAAATGCATCGTGCTACCTGTGTTTATCGAAACCAACAAAAATGAACCACTTAGATGCTGTAACATCAAAGACCGTGTGTTCTGATATATATGAGTTTGGCTTGTCATCCCTACATGCCCGAATAAATTGCATGGAATGTCTATTACACATTGTGTACAGACTTGACTTCAAACAGTGGGCTGCGAGAAGTAATGAGCACAAAGAAATGTTGCAGACAAGAAAGAAACTGATTCAAAATAAATTCAAAGATGAGCTCAATCTGTTGATTGATATAGTGAAAGTTTTTCGAGTTTCCCAAAGAAACTGCAACTATTACCGGGTTGGATGAAGAACTTATCAAGAGATTTGCTGATATTTTGCAGGCAATCACATCTGGAGAAAAGATTGACGTTGTCAAATTCAAAGATTTTGCCCGCAAAACAGCAGAAAAATACGTGGAATTATACGACTGGTATTACATGTCGGCAACTGTGCATAAATTATTAATTCACGGGGCTTTTAGGAACTTTTAGGAGCAATTATGTCAATAATAGAGAAAAACGACATTGTGCCTATTGGGACTCTTTCGGAAGAAGCCTCAGAGTCTCGAAATAAAGATTTCAGGAGATTCCGGGAACATCATTCACGGAAAAGAAGCAGGCAAAATTCAAATCAAGACCTGAATATACTTCTTGTATCTTCGGATCCTGTTCTAAGTGCACAAAGGCCTAAATTAGATGCCAAGAGAAAGCAGAGCTTTTTTGCTGAAACTCTTGATCTAATTCAGTTTCAGCAGACTGAGTTCGAGTTTTTAGATATCTCCAATCTGGATTCTGACTCCGAATTGGAGTCCGACAACGAGAGCGATAAGGAGAATTTGTAAATTTAATTACATATTATGATTTCTTACTATTTTTGTAAGTTTATTGTAAGGTTTAAGTAGTTATTAATTCATCAAATTAGTTATTAAGATATTTTGTATGTTGTATTTAAAGTAGGTACTGCTTTTTTAAATATTTTTTTGGTTTTTAGATATTTATGTAGTTAACTAGAAATGTTTCATTTTTAGTTTTGTCTTTGGTTAGGTTTTAGTATATGTGCTTAGGTATTTATTATTTGATATAAAGTAATTTTTTTAATTTTGTTTCAGTTTAATAATATTACTTGAAAGTTTTATTGTATGTTTAAATTTTTTTATACAATTGTATTGTAACTTCATTTGAATTAAAATATTTTTTGTATCTATTTTATAGTATTTTAATATTTTTGTAACCTCTGTTTTATTTAAATTATTAATAAAAAATAATAAGAAACATATATTTTTTATTTCATCTTGTTTTGTATATTCTTATTATTTGGAAATACTACGTTCTTAACTTAGACACTAAAAGGAGAAACAGTTCCTTTTAGTGTGTAACTTAAGAATGTACGTTAAGAATGTAAATAAACAAGAATATTTTAACATTAAATAGGTAGTTGTAATTACTTAATCCCTTGTTTTTAGATTCATTAGAAAACTAAACAATATTTATCTAAGTGTGGGTGTACTATAAACCTCTGCCTACTCTTCGGGAATATAGGGGTGATGCTGTTTTATGTAAAAAGTTTGTGTTCCTCAACTCAAAGACTAAATCATTTCGTATCACATGTAAAATTAAATAAAAATATTTTGATGATTTTTTTAAAAAAAAAACGGCATTTATGACTGTTATCTGGAGTATGCCAAAAAATCATAAATAATTAGTACTATAACCACTTGTAAGGATATTACGGTTTTCCTTGCCGTTTAAAAGATAATTCGATTTTTCATACAAGTTTCATACAAATTTTTCTAAAAAGAATTATAACTCCTTCGTTTTTGAACATAACCAACTCGGGTGTCATATTTGTACATAGTAATAACTAAAAGAAACAATATTCGGCAAAAAAAATGACACTTGCAAATTGAAATCCCTAAGTCTATGAAAGCCGATTTTCAGCCCACCGTGTGTCGTCACTAGGTCTAGTAACCAACCAAGTAAAGAACGCAACGTGCCGAACAATGAACTACCGGTACCTACCGTCTATTTGAAAAAATAATTATACTAACTACTATCTTATGTTGTGCTAATCACTAATAATTAAAACCGCCCTCTATCAAACTATATTTGAACAAAAATGAGACCATTGAAGCTATATCGTTCACGACGGCTACGCCGTTATCAGTTCTTTAAGGTTCGTTATAGTGATTATAGATGGCGCTATGAATAATAAAAAGAATTACTCCTGTTTCTATTTTTTTTTACATCCTCTATAATATTTTTACATACTATTTTCAACTGTACAGCCGAACGTACTATAGGGAAGTGAAAGAAATTAAATGTATTTGCACGGCTTAAGAAAATAATATGACTATGATATATTAAATATGTGTTCTGTAGATGGACCGACACAATTTTTTGACAGTTTTGGGGTCAAATTTGCATGCATCATAGTAGAAGCTGATAATTTTCAGCAACATTTGAAAGAGCTAACAATAAAAAATAGAACATAAAATGTCTTTTTTTTATATGAGTTTTTTGTAGTATCTCTTATTTTGACCACGTGTCGAATAATTCCTATAACATGCAGCATATCGTTGGAAAGGGTTATGAGTAAGAGGATAAAGTACATTTCAAAATAATTTAGTATTTTTTAATGAATTAAGTTTTAATACTTCAATTTTTTTTCAACTTTAAAAGCTCACCAGTACTTTGTTTGAAAATGTTTGTTTAAAACTATGATTTATTTAAACCAACCAAATTTATTTCGTGCTACCTTAAGCAAAAAAATTATTACGATATAAAGGCGAGATTTTGTGTAATTACACAATAAAAACGTCATATTTCTATTACCGTGACACCTAGGACATGGGGTCAACGAGAAAACGCTAGCAAATGACCCAAACTCCCCAAACTCCCTTAAAATTTTGTCGGATCATCTGTAAAACACCCTGTATAGAGAAAAAAAAGAAATTTATGTCTACGCTGTAAGGTATGATAGTAAATTGTTACAGGTACAAATAATTGGGCACACGTGGGCCGTTTCTTTCTCTTACAACCTAATTTGACGTTTTTGACACAACAGCTAACAATATCCAATATCAGTTGTATGTATGAATATTACTCATATTATTATTATAATGTAACTACAATGTATATGATATACAATAATTTATAAAATAATGTATAAAATTTTAATTGACTAAAATAAATCTGAAAAATGAAAATTATCTGAATTTGATCATTGTGAACAATATTGCAAAATTTAAATATTAGTTTACACTTATTAACTAAATTTATTAACAAATATTCTTTTTGCAATTGGGTTTTGGTTAAATTAAAATAATTTAATAGAATTTTATTTAATAATTTATTTACTATGCATAAATAGTCTTAAAATTCGCTCAAAAGGAACAACATTCGTAATAAATTAATGATAACAGCCACTGAATTAATTGCATTGGTCTTAAAATATATTTTATTGTATAATTAATTAGTTTCAAAAATAATATTGACAAATAAATACTTACATTATTATAGGAAAAAACAACATTATTCAGTGGTACAGGGTCAAGAGGTCGTTACGCTTGATACTGTAGACTATAAAATACTAAGATTTAAATTCCCTTTATGCCGCTTGTAATAAAATGCGGCCTTAAGTAACTATTACATATTTGACATAATTGTCACAGTGCTTTTATTTTATACAAATATACATGGCATAAGTTAATAAGGTACAGAAAATAAAATTCGTACCACATGCTCATTCTCCCAGTTTTTCTACATTGGCCCAGCCGGGAATCGAATCCAGGACCTCAGAGACAACGACACCATGAAAACCGGTGTGCAAGCCACTTGACCACAGACGTCGTCGCATTGCGTCAGTGAGTACAGAATGTGTACTAAAAAAAATTACATAGTAATTTCATCATATAAATTTTAAGTCTTTCGTTGAACAAAATAACAAACTTCTTAAATTTTTTCGGTTGAAATCTGGGAATACTTTTGATTAAAAGAGATTACGTAGATTGCAACATATTCTTGTATCGATTGGAACATTCAGGATATAATCGTTAAGGCGATTATTCCGTAGATATAAGAGGTATCAATATGCTTTAAACTGATATTGAAAGTAATAAACATCACTTTGTTTTTATTTAATTGAAATATAGTTTCATTACCTTATTTAGAGCAGTGTCGTAATCTGTAAACTTATTGTTACCTCTTATAGTAGGGAAACCAGAGCCTCGCTAATGTCATATTATATGTATCCCATACAAGCGTTTAAGCGTGAAACACCGCGTGGGCTCGTCTCGCGCTTTATATATTTAGTTTTATTTCTAAAAACTTCTTCATCGTTTTACTTATTACGTAACTTAATTTTTGATATTAAAGGTTTTTGATATCTCTTATATTTACGCAATAAACGCCTAGGGCAGCTTAACTATTACACCCTGTATATTATTGAGTTTCGTCTGGCACGTACTTGGATTCGAAGGTTTCTATATTAGGTTTCTATTGGGTATATAACTCTATAGCTTAGATTTTCGTTGATACAGCAACAATGAGCAATCTCTGATCGTCTGGAGTTTCATCATCGTCATTTCAGCTAAAAGTTGTCGACTTCTGGATTTAGGCTTCCCGTAAAGATCATCACAACGAGTGAAACTGACTCTGCAAGTTGCTCTGCAAAAACGAACTTGCTCTGCAAGTTTCACTTGCATATCAATACCCGCAACCTTGACCGGTTCATCGGTTCACCTTGTGAGTAACCCGACAGGTCGAGTCGAAAACTCTTTGGTCACTCCGGTTATCGTTCTTTGAGTAATTAATGCGACTTGCTCACGGCCATTTCAATTTAGCAATTCTTTGGGTTGTACCGGTAACCCTGGTTCTGTTGCGGATATCTTCGCTCCTGATTCGATTTTCATTAGAGTTCGAAGCCCATTTAGAGTTTCTCTTCAAAATTACAAAAATAAACGTAAAACTTATGAAGTGCTTCTACTATGAACTTACTGTAACAGTTGTCACTAGCAATCGCGTAAAGTATTTGAGAATTTTGTATGGCAAATTGTGCAGCGCCCTCTAGTGGTTACAAGAAAAAGTAATATTTTACAGAATTTTATTTTTTTACGCCATCGTCTCGTAGTAGAGGTAAAGTAATTAAAAAAGAATTACCGGTAAAATAAACTGAAATAGAATGAATTTCCTATGAACTTTAATTTATACAACTTAGATAACTTGACATAAATGATCAGAAATATTTTTAACGAATACTTACATGGTAAATAGAATAGAGTAGAAAACCTTTATTGCAACGCTACAACACGTATGTGCAACTTCGTGTACTGTTGGCATGCATACCATGCAAACTAAGCACTTCTACCGCATTTATTGTTCTCTGGTGGTTTGAAATTTCAATTATAATGATCGTATAATTGAAATTTCAACTATAACGTCATAACATTAAGAAATACCTATTCGTCACCTAAAAAGTCCTTACTTTGCCAACCCCTCAGTGGGCGCCGGGTATAAGTAGATAAAGGCATCACTCATTGATTTCGTACCCTTTAAATATAAAAAAGAATGTGGCTGTTTACAAAAATAACAGAAAATGACCAAAAACTTAAGTTGACGTAATGTTGTAGGTATTGGTTTCTTTCATGTAGCACGCATTGTTTTCACGACTTTCATGTGATAAAAGCACTTTTGACGTATGATTACTTGAGGCTTTATTAAACTTCGGTCTTATTCCACTACGGGTGCAACTTATTTTTGATCAACTTTGTTAATCTATGGAACTAACTTAGATATGACTGTGTGGTTGATTTCTAATAATATTTTATTTGATAATGATAATGATTAAGTTTTATCTATTATTATTCGTAAAATCCAATTAAACTATATTCATTTCACAGAAATGTCCGGACGGCAATCTTCAGGCATTTTAAAGCCTGTCCAAGTAATCTCTATCTAATGTTTAGTATTACGCGTTATGAATTTTTATTTGAGACCATTAAAATTTAAAAGAAATAAATATCGTACACGTAGCCTGTATAGTCGATACCCTAAGATAGTATATTTTTAGTAACAGTAGAGGTTTTTGTGAAAGATTTCCTCCAGGGAAGCACTGCCACGACTTACCTATTTCTGCCGACAAGCCGTAATATGAACATTACTGCGGCCCAGTTTTGAATGATAAGGGTGGTGGTGAAATTACAGACAAATGGGACTTCTGAACTTTTGTCTCAAGAGCTGCACTGCTCTGTTTTGGACTTGCGTGTCGCTTACCATCAGGCCCACGACTTGTTCCACACACAAAACAAAAACCTGACCCCTTACCCGACCATTTGGTTTTTTCATGTAACAGAAAAGTGATAAGGTTGAATAATTCTTCAGAGCACTCACCACGGTATATTCGATAAAAGGATAAAACCAAGCGATGCAATATCTTACGCAGTTGCAGAGGTTCAAGGTGGGATGAGACCTCTTCATTTTTGATACATAACAAGGTCTCAAAAAAATTCTTGACGCGTAAACTAGTTTAGAAATAACAACAATTAAAACAATCGAATACTAACTATCACAGCTGATATGCTCATTAAGACTATACTGAAGATTTGTGGTCGATGATAGACCGCATTGGAGCTCCAGAAACCGTTGTGATGGTTCCTCACTCTACAGTTGAAATGGTGGTCATCACCAAGACACATGGCGTAGGCCATGAAATGGGGGATGGCACTTTGTTCAAAGCTCGACGTGAACAGATGAGACCAGGGTCCCGAGGAGTAGACTGCAACGTCTTCTCCGCCGTGCGTTTCTGAGTCCAGAGGAACTAAACTGGGATAGGAATAATCGTGAGCTCCTGAAACAATAATGAAAAATTGTTAAAACAAAATAAACAAACTAATTAGAGCATTTTCAGATTGTTTAACAACAAAAGCCGTAACCTTATTGGCCACATCTGCAAAATGACAACTTCTGAGTAGACATGTTTGAAGATTCTATGAATGAAATTACTTTTTTATGTTTAAAAAGAGAGTTATAAAATTTCACATTTACATATTTATTTCAGTAGTTCGTATTATTTTTATGACTGTTATGTGATTGATAAAAGCACATTAGGCTTTATTTGTAAGTCAATGCCTTAGGCTTTATTATACCAAGGGTACGAAAAGTTGATTCCATAAAACTTTAAAAGTTTATATATATTTTAATTAATAATTGATGTGATTTACTTAAAGAGGTATTCTGAAAAATATTTTAATCAAAACTTTAGTGGCATCAAGTTAGGCTTTGAATTTTAAATGAGTTAGAAGCAAGAAATAACACATAAAATTTTTTTAAAAGGAAATTTACAAACCCACCAAAAAGTGATAAAACTAAATACTAAAATACTCACGAGATGTGAACTGCTGATTCAACGTGACATCGACTCTTTTTCCTTCAGGACTGATAGACAGAGCCTTTCCATTCGCATAGCTAATGGTTGTGTAGGGGATTCCATCCATTCCTGTTGTAGTATCTACTATACCCAGTATGTCGTTGCCCCTTGAAGGATATCCAGCTACTGTCATCGTGTGAGCGTGATCAGCTGTCACCACAATCAAGGTATCTTCTTGGTTAGTCAATAATTGGGCTTTTTTAACTGCTTTGGAGTATTCAACTGTCTCGTCTAAAGCTAAATACGCGTAGCTATCGTGGTGCGCGTGATCAATTCTGCCACCTGGAATTTATTGAGGAAAAGAAACAATCAGATGTTGTTATTAGCTTAGTCATACATAAATAAGAGCATGCCAAGCTAGTCAATAAGATGAGAGAAAGAGAAAATTCATCTATAGATGAAACTAAACATGGAAATACTTAGATGTGAAATATTTGAGACAATGAAATTATGTTATTAGTCGTAGTGTGTGAGTAGCAAAACAGCCAGGCTCAACTTCGATTGGGACGTTGACCAGATGCAACCCAAGAAGTGGGACAAACATTGTCACTCCTTGGGTGCCCGAGGGTGGAAAGCGATGGCGGGAACGACCGAAATGGTGTTGGCAGGACGGTCATGATGGGTATAATATATATAGTAAGTGGTGGGAAATCGCCAAAGACAGGGAACATTGGCGGATTGATGGATGGCGGAGACTTTGGCAGCAGTGGGTCATAGTAAGTTAATAAAAAAATGGACACAAAATTGGGTTCCTAACGGCGAAACGCATAAACGAATATCGAGTGTCCATTCGGATATTCCTACGACGGGATATGAATCGATTAGGGAATTCCTAAAACAATTTCTGGAAAAATTTGAAGAATAAAGTTTTACTTGTGAGTTTAAATATCATAGAGGCAAGAAAAAAATCATTTGCACTTAACGTGAGATCAATTACTTACCTTCAACGAACAAAAAGTATCCATTAGAACTCCGACTGAGCATCTTAATGGCGACCTCTACCATTTCTTCCAAAGTAGGCTCGTTTTCAGCTTTCAAGTGATACGCCATATGGTCATTATTAAAAAGGCCGAGGAGGTACTCTGGCAACTCGTCTGAGTTAAATACCTGACAAAAACCAACGAACACAAATGTTACATATGTTACTTTAATTAAAAATTATTGTGATCTTGCAACAGATTGTATTTATTTTTCTTGTCTAGTTGAATATGCGTCCTGGTCGTAAACTGATGACGATCAGCATCAAATCACTTAAAAAGTATGTACTGATCAAAAAAATTGGAGACAGTCACTGTAAGGCAGTAACACGTGGTGTCTCTCCACTGTTAATGGTCAAGAGCAAGGATACGTAAAAAACTTCACATAACAAATATTTGGATAACTTTTACGAGTAATGGGCAGGATAGGGAGTGCCGAAACCACTTCCTGAAATCTTTAGTAAACCTAATACAATGCCAAGAATCCTGAAGAGCTTGAGTGGTTCATGTAGGACCATAGACTCTATGATGTTGAGTTTCAGAAGCCATACGTAGTAGTTTATTCACAATATGATTCGACAGAGTCGTAAGAAAATCTTTGTACGTGCAATACATGCTTTTTTGCCTTAAATCTATTATAACTTAGGATAGGAATCTTGGTGCAATTAAACTATTTTGTACCTTCATCAGCTCATTCCTATCAGTAACGTACTGGTGAGTGGCTTTCTTCCCGACTTTGTCTTCATGCCACAAGTCAAGCAAATCGGTGTTGTCCAGTCTCTTACCGATGTTGTCTGGTGTCGTCGTGTTAGGCAGAAACTCTCGTCTACCACCTCCCATAATTACCTGAAAATGGGATTAATGTTTTGATAAGTTCCTTATTACGGGACGAATAAGTCGTTCGCCTGGTTGTATTAGACACGCCTACCCATAACAGTTGCAGTGCCACTAGAGCTTTAAATAGCAAACACCTGAGGGGCACTCTCACTGCACGCGTATACTCACATTAGCGCTTGGCGTCAGAAATAGATATCATGGCTATATACTTCCCTAGACGAAATCTTTCGTGGGTAGCTCTACTGCTACTATTTACTCTGTTACTTTCTGTTTTTTTTATATGTTAATACCTTGCGTTATGTATTTCACACCCAATATTCTATACTGGACAGGATTATTCGAATTATTAAACAAATTACGGAACCGACTGACTAGCTAAGAAGAAAAAACTAGAAGAAACGTTGACAATGTTACGTGTGTTATTGAGTTGATTTTATTGCATCTACATAATAATCACTGAAGATTCTGCTTTGATAAGAGTAGCTCCTCTTGGGCAGTATCACTTCTTACAGCTTCGGCAGAAGATAAGAGAGATATCCGGTATGATAATTTCAAATAAAATGTGCTGAAACTTTGGTATCAAACCGTGTGTGGTATCAAACAGTGTTTGGCATATATGTGTTGCGTAAAACGAGCGACTAGTTTTGTGTACCGTTTATATGACTGTGGAATCACAGTACATTTACTCAAATGTTTTGTAAGCCCGTAAAAATATACATAATTTCGTTAAGAAACAAGATGTCCGTAATATTATTAACCTTAGAACTAAGTCCAAACTCATGGTACCACGATTTCGTTTAATTAAGGTAAACGATTCTTTTGTGCACGTTTCTATACGTTTTTACAATAAGATTCCGGAGCACATATTAAGATTACCGTTTCCTATGTTTAAAACTTACATTTAATTAGAGGTCATTTCGTGATTTTTATCAATTGAGGAAACTTTATTGTTTTATGTTTCTGATTAGTGTCAATGCTTGAATATATCGTGTAGTTACTCATACCATATTTTATTTTGAACTTTAAAGTGGATATACCCCTCTAAAATCAAATCGAAGATTAGGAATTTTTCCTCTGCTCCCTCAGTTTATTTGAAAATAGCAATCCCTACAGTTTCTTCCTCGTTCTTTTCAGGGAAGTCGGCACAGTGAACGAGCAGTAGCTTAAAAAATGACATTTTAAGTATAAAAATTTACCTATGGAATAAATGATTATTTGACTTAGACTTTGTTATCACCATCAAGGCTTATTATGTTCGTTGTATTTATACATGTACGTGTCCTAGATTTATCACAAATAAAGTTTTGAGAACTCGATCACATTTGAATAGTTAGAATATTTTTCTTTAAAGACCATCAGCTTCATTGATTGTTGTTATATCGACAATGGCATTGGATATTGCGGCTCAAGAGCATTTCTCAGAAATGAAGGAAAAAAAATACAATAACAATTGATGCGAAGTTCATGGGCAATTATTCAATGAAATTAAAACGTAATAAGGTATTTATAGCCTATTGACTTGTTAGTACAATATTTGTTTATCATCGACTAACGATTATACGTCACAAGATACTCAACGTAAGTGAAATTCTAGCCTTTATTGAAAGAAAGTACGATGCAAAAGAGTAATTCCTGAGATGAGTGTATTTTGTGTAGCGCAATAGGGCGCTCTGTTAGCCCAACTTCATTTAAAATTAAAAAATTTGTTTGGATCTAAATTGCGAACATTTGTTTTGTTAAACAAACCAACATTTATAACTAAAGCTCAGAGTAGGGTGGTTTGCTCTAATATTAGACGACCAAAAAAAAATTTGATGACCAACATCTCAGTTAGCCTTGAACGGGGGACCAGACTATTTTCAGGCTCTTAACTGAAATGTTGGTTTGTTTGTGTTCGCGCCGATATCAAGGTAGACGGCGTTTAAGTTAAGTTCGTCTACCCTTTCTTCTTTTAATATTTATATTGCAATCCTTTTTAGCTTTTTGGTAGCAGTAGAGCGCCTTGTGAAGGAGTTCGTCCAGGGAAGTATTGCCACCTTACCTATGTCTGCCGTCAAGGAGTATTATCTGAATTACTGTGTTTCGGTTTTGAAGGTTAAAGGCGCTGGTGAAATTACAGGCACTTGAGACTTGTTAACTTATGTCTCAGGGTGACGGGCGCAGTGGCAGTATCCTTCAGATCTTTACGATTTCAAGCTTTGAGTGTCACTGCAACTGTTATGGACAGGCGTGTAGCTTACCATTAGCCGCACGACTTGTTCATCCCGTCACTCGATATTATAAAAAAACCCTGCTGCAGCTGAACTACTTTTCATAATTGGGATAGTCTATACCTAACCGACCTGAGTAACGGCCTTGGATCACTCATCGGTGATCGTTTAGCTGCGTGGATGCAGTCTGCACAGTCCTATTTTGCCTTGTGTGAAATACCGCTTGTGTTTTACTGTGTCAGTGTCCTGTGCTTAAACACTTTTAGGTGATAAATCAAGTGATCACCATCATAATTGGTAGTCTCCTCTGACCACCACTGAGCTGACGGAATTGCCACGCATTCCACCGCATTTTGTCGGAGATCCTTAATTAGAACGTCTGCTGGAGCTTGAGAAAGTGGGCTGCTTAGGACATTATACGAGCACGAAACCCACCTCTAAAGTCAGTTATTCAGCAGTCCTTTCATCTGCCCATCCGTCCCCTATACAGACATTGCTTTCTATACAACCCACTTTTCTTCTTAAAAGCGTCACAACGAACGTACCATACTATCAGCTCGTACGGTCACATACAGTTTGAAAAAACAAATGTTCAAAATCCGAAAAAATAGTTTCATTTCCAATGTTTAAAAATCGAGACAACTTACGAACTCGTCATCTTTTTGTTTAATTTCTTAATACATACACAAGATATATAAAAGATGATCATACGCACGAAATGTGTTCAGCAATAGTGCAATTTAATATAATGTAAGAATTAGATTTCATCGTTTGAACATTTTGCAGAATGATTGACAATGAAAGCCAATCAACTGCGAACTGTGATGTTTTAAGAACGGTTCGTTACGCTAAACGTAAAATCTGTGAGCATTCAAGCATATTGTAAACATTGACATAATTCGTTACTCGATTACGATAAAACGAAAGGTAAGGAAAAACTATGTAAAGGATTGTTTTAGTACCGCATAATCTTAGTACAGAGTAACTAATAAAACCGAACACAAAAGTGGATCACTGAGATACCCTCTTTCCAACAAAAAAAGAATCATCCAAATCGGTTCAGAAATTCCGGAGTTATCGCGTAACATGCGTACAAAAAAAAACATACAGACGAATTGAGAACCTCCTCCTTTTTTTGAAGTCGGTTTTTACAGCTTTTGGAATTCGTTACGCTTTCTATTTTGGAATTATTTATACATTTCTGTACATTACAAAAAATAAATAAAATACAAAAAAATACTCGTCGAGTCCAGTTTAGTGAGCCCAAACAAGATATTTCTTGCTTCTGCTGTAATTAATAGAGAATTTGAGTAGTCTACGGACTGTTGTGATAAGATCAAAATACAATGACCGGTGCAATATGGAGGCATGGCCTAACCTTATACTGGCATGTCCATAATCACGACGCATTTTAAAGCACGTAAAGCCTAGATTCTGAATCTATTCCTTGATTTTCATTTAAAGCAGCGGATTTTTATATATTTAGTAACAAAAAACCTTCTTTTCCGAACTTATAACTGTTTAATAATAATTCAACAAACTTATAAACTTGCATTCTATACATATTGGTAAAAAAATACCCAGCTGCGCGTCAGTAGGGACGTTCTTATAGTTGTGATCTCTCCGACACGTCTACTATAAGGGAGATGCCAGGGCGTTGCGTGTCGTCGCAACTGCGTTGATTACAACGGACTGAGTGTCACACGAGCTGTTCCGTCTACACGCGCTGTTTCGACGCATCGTGTGGCATGTCGTTCTCATTTATATGTAGTACAACGCAGTTGCGACAACGCAACGACGACGCATCTCTCGTGTGGCATCTCCCTAACAGTTGCAATGCTACTGCGCCCATCACCTTGATATAAATAAAATAAAAAACATTCATTTTATGTCTAATATCTGTACACTAACAGGAAAAAGAGATGATGATCTTTGAAACAGCTGTAAGCTACAATAGATAAAAGTGTACCCCGCTGCATTGACTTACAATTATATGGACGTCGGGTCCGCGCTAAAAAGTGTCCGAACTTATAGGGCGTTAAAATCGTATACAGAGCGTCATTCACGCTTTAGTCTTCGTTTGTTCCACTGACAGCGAAGCAATCAAAATTTGACAGTACTGCGATGACATTACAATTTAAATTCAACGTTTTAGCTTTTTCATATTCCTTTACATGTCACTACGTTTAAATAGGTTGACTTGGGACATTTTTTTCGTGGTTTTTGTATTAGACCCGTCGTCCTTTTATTTGTAAGTCAATGCCCCGCTGCCAAAAAATTATATTCATTTTGGAGCCATCTTTTTGCGTTAGGTATTAAAAGAATTGTAGACAAACTGTAAATAATATATTCATAATAGGTAAAATAATTACCACGTCTATAGTCGTTAATGTACAATGGTACATTGATCTGAATTATTCCTGCTAAATGACGTCAATTGTATACTTTTTTTGTATAAATATGTACATTTAATATGGTAAATGCATTCATTATTGAAAACTTCACGGTAAATTATAACTTACACGAGCTCGAGACTCTTTACATATGTTAAATGGAAATGTCTTACTTTGTAACTCACTTTGTAAATTTGAATATTAGCTTGACGTCTAGTATATTTTATAACCTCGGAGTGACTTATATTGTTAAGTGATCAAAGTTGTTTATGACGATGGAAAATTTTTGTTTTCATGTCTAGTAGTTAAATTCAACATTACAAGTTGGCCCTTTTTTACCACGAAACGCCTGTCCATAACAGTTGCAATGCCACACAGAGCTCTAAATCGCTATTACATGAGCCAATGCACCCGTGACCCTGAGACATGAAAATTTCAATGTGCCTATAATTTCACCAGCATCTCTACCCTTTGATACCGGAACGCAGTAATGCTCACATTACTGCTTGGCGGTAGAAATAGGAAATTGGCAGTACATCCCTGGACAAACTCTTTCACAAAGGCCTCTACTGCTACGTGAGCTACCTAGCGGTAGCTATAAGAACGGTTAAATGTAGCAGCAGAGCTCTATGCTTTTTTATAATACTAAGTGACGCGACGAATAAGTCGTGCGTTTAGTAGTAAGCGACACGACTATTCACAACAGTTCCTGCGCCAATCAGAGTTTTAAATTGCAAACATTTTAGGGGAGCTGCCACTGCGCCCGTCACCCTGTGACATTAGTTGACAAGTCCCTTGCGCCTGTAATTTTACCAGCGCCCTTACCCTAAATGCAGAATGTTCACTATTGACTAATATACTAAGATATTGTATTTCTCACCTTAAATTGTCTTCCAGGATCATTTGCGATAAGCTGGTAGGCAATGTCGTGGCAACCCATGGACAAGCATTCCTCAGGTACGTCGGCGTCCGATTCCCAGTTCCTCTCGGAGGTATGGGCGTACATACCTGCTGGTGACGCATGGGTCACTCGTGTTGTTGTCACTAGACCTGTAACGAAATGACAATTTCATTTAACCACCTCCGTATGCCGAGGTTAATTTCTGGTATAATCAATTTAGCGGTCATTCTCAGATTAGTGTCCATGGTGTCCACTATCTAATTTCCGTGGCAATTTTTATTATTTAAATACTCAAGTATATTCTCGTGTAACTATTAAAATAATATTACACGATAAAAATCGAACACTTAAATAATAAAAATTGCCACTGTAATTAGGTTATCTCTCTTTTCATTTAATAGATAGGTGACCTATCTCTTTTCAGCGCCCTAACCTAGCTTCTGTACAATGATTCTTGTCTGGGTGTTCTTAGCCGGTTTGAGATCAGGCAATATTTTATAACACAGGGTGCTTGAGTGGAGGCCTAGAGCAGAGTACAGAAGTATATGTAGGCAACCGACCCCCTATACTCAAATTCAAAGTCAAAGAACATTAATTCCATAGAAAAAATAAATTTACAAAGACACGACGCAAGCACATAGAAAAATTCGTGAGGGAGTTGGTATAGCGTCTGCCACGGCATGCAAGAAGACGTGTCGGTTCAAATCCGACCGGATTGAAGGAATTTTTTCTGACTGTTCGATCTTTGTATTAATAATTATAACAAACTAGTGGAATAACTTCACAAAAAATAATTGAATAGTTGTTATTTGTTTAATAGTTTAATTAAATAAATTTACATTTGAAAACGTCACTTTTTAAGCTACTGTGCTGACTTCCCTGAGAAAAAGAATAAGAAGAAGAAACTCTAGGGACTGTGCGTTCCTAATAAACTTAAATACATTGATTTTTTTTTTTAATATCAAGGAACGAACAAGTCGTGCGCCTGATGGTAAGACCTGTCCACAAAAGTTGCAGTGCCACTCAGTACTTTAAATCGCAAAGACCTGAGGGGCACTGCCGCTGCGCTGAGACATGACCTGAGACATAAGTTGAGAAGTCCCATGTGCCTGTAATTTCACCAGCACCCTTACCCTTCAAAACCGGAACACAATAATGCTGACATTACTGCTCAACGGCAGAAATAGATAAGGTGGTAGAACTTCCCTGGACGAACTCTTGCACAAGAATCTCCTACTACTACTGCGCATACTAGAATATACTTTGAATGTAATTTGTATGTTATGTCGTCTTTTCATACACTTTATCTAAACGTAGTCTTCAATTTTGTAATATGACTTTTCTATTAAAATACTCTTAATGTAATTTTTAAACCAAGCAAATGATAATTTTAATACAATGCTCTGGAATCGTATTGTAAAATCGTATACAGTTCCCCATAAACACGTCGTTTACTTTAATTAAACGGAATCGTGGTACCAGGACTTTGGACTTAGTTCTAAGGTTAAGGTCTTGTAACTTGGTAGAAGTACTACTTATTTGACCGTAATTGTTTCGGATCTATGTCAGACGGAGAACAGAGTACAGTGCCTGGTCTTCATTAGTTATAGCTTTTACGTGTTATATATGAAATTTCAGACTTTTATCCAACAATTTGATGGCCTTTTGTATTCATACAAACCATAATTAGTAACAATACAATTTTTAATATGTGAACAAATGTGGTATTTTTTTCTGTTCATTTGCAAAGTAACAATTGTTCATTTACTACATTGTTAACAAGTGACACTAAGTATCTAGAAATTACGTCAACAAATTATTGTATTATTTATATTCATCTATCTTTTGCGAAAATATTCCACTAGTTTGTTATTATTACCGATACAAAATACAAAGAAAAAATATTACAAAGTAAATAGTAACCATCAGTACCTATTTCTGCCGCCAAACAGTAAAGTGAGCATTACTGCGTTTCGGTTTTGAAGGGTACCGGTGAAATTACAGACACATGGGACATTTATCTTATTATGTGGCGAGCGCTGTGGCGGTGCTCTCAGATCTTTGAGATTTAAAGCTCTGAATGACACAAAACTGTTATGGACAGGCGTGTCGCTTACCGTCATGCGCACGACTTGTTCGTCCCATCACTTAGTACGATTAAAAATATTTTTTTCTTTGTATTTTTCGATCTTGGTATCAATAATAATAACTCATTATACGTCTCACATTTGGGCACGAGTTTTCCCTATGGAGAAGGTTTTGGCCATAGACTACCAAGCTGGCATGTTGGGGAAGAATGGTACAGGACCTTTCAGGAGAATAAATTCAATTCGGTATAGTAGTCAAATGAAATGAGGGATATGAGAATCGAGAAACGCGTAACTTGTCAATGTGTCAAAATAGTGAAACATTAAAATAATAGTGTAATAGTTTTCGGACAAATAAACCAAAATTAAGGTTTTCAATCATGTTTTTTGATTGTTATAGTAACCCAGTAGGATGATCTATAGTGCTGATTTCTCACGGTCCGTGGTTGCACGGGCCGCGCCGCGCGTGCTCGTGGCATCACGTCATGGGAGAGTGCCGCCATTGCCGGGGCGGCCTCACATTGTATAGGCTCGTGTCGCGACCCGTGATATCACAGGCCAGGAGAAGCCACCTTATTACGTCGATGTTTTTGTTAAAACACCATAATTATCACAGAACAATAATGAGGTTCCACTTCAGGAGCATTATTCGCTTTGATATACATATAGGTACCTCTCCGCATGTGTACGTAAAGTTATAATAATTTTCATATCTGCCACCTACCACTTTATCGCTATTGTAAAGTAATGCATTACACAAGTATTTTGCATTTCTAAAGAAACAAATAACTTACCAACATCAAATCCACGGTCTAACGCCCACTGACCGATGGAAGGAGCCCAATTTGCTTTATGCAACTGCGAGGTACAAGAGCCTCTGGTCACGTTCCCATCGAGACCAATAACGCCGTATTTCGTCTTCACACCACTGAGATACGACGTAGCAGTGCACGCTGAGTCCGGCACTTGAGCGTCAAGGCAGTAGGTCTGAAACAAAAAACAAAAATGCTGTATTCTGGATGTAAAACACTTTTTTATCACACTTGCTCGCAAAGAGTGTCATGACATGCAGACAAAGTTGGCTGTAATGTCCTAAATTACTTACATTACCACCCTAGGGCGATAATAGATATTTAATAGCACTTCTCTTATACGTCAAAATTAAGCAAACACTTTTAATGCTCGAAAAATCTGAATATATAAAAAAAACTAAACCTTTTGTAATTCAACTACTTATATTTCATTACGAAATACATTCATAGATTTCTCATAGATGGCGCTACGGCTAAAAAGTCGTTTATAACCAATCATAAGAAATTCGTGAGGTCCGCTGGTTCGTTCCGTGGCATAGAATCTGCCACGGTTTGCTAGGAGACGTCGGTTCGTATCCGGCCGGGTCGAAGGAAGTTTTTTAAGCGTTCGATCTTTGTATTAATAATTATAACAAACTAAGTAATTAAAATAATTGAATATCATTGTGGTGAAACATTCTGACATTCAATAAAAATTTAATTATATTTAATTAATTTAAAAAAAATCCTATTTTCCCCACTCAATACACTAAATACGTCCGGGCCCTATATTGTGGAAGAAACTAAAGATGCTGGACTTGGAGAATAAGAGAGAATCGTGTCGCGAAGAGAGCGTACCTATTTGTATGACCGACAGGACGCCGTTCGAAGTCTAGAAAGATCTGAAGGACCTCGGCACTAGTAGCTGGAAGGAGCTGGCTCAGATCCGGGAGGCGTGGTAGAATCTGATGTCGTAGGCTACGACCCCATAAGTAAGTAAGTAAGTATATTAAATATGTTTAACGCAAAATAAAAAAGAAACTATTTTTAACTCATATCTAGTTAAGGGCGCAGCTGTCAGCACTTTGATTACAGCAGGCTTCAACGAGCAACTAAAATCTCATACTCATATCCAATTTTATTCGCAACCACTGGACGTTTGCTTTAGGAGCGTCAACTCTACGGCCAGTGATTTAGAGTGTTTTTTTAACCGACTTCAAAAATAGGAACCTTCTAAATCCGACTGTATATTTACGTATGTTACGCGATAATTTGTAAACCGATTTTGATGATTTTTCTTTTGTTGTAAAGAGGGTACCTCAGTAGTGGCAAACTAGGGGATAAATCGGATTTTGCACACTTTCCGGTAACTGATTTGAATAAAACTTGGCAAATAGTTGTAATTCCGCGAACTTTTGTGGTCGGGTTTTTGGTACTCTGTACTGAGATTATATCATTAAATGGGACAGTACGGGGAAATCCAAAACAATAGAAGATACAAGGAAACTGTTTTAGGAATCATTCAGTATTTTTTTGTGAAAACACTCTTTTCGTAGTCAATTTTTGGTCAAGCGGGAATTGTACATAAAAATGAATAAAATTGATCAACATGTTTTTAGTGCTCACTCAGTTTAATGACGGGATTATTTCATTGCATGGGACGAAAAAATCGGGACAGTAGACGTTGGTCAAATTTAATTTAAAAAATTTCGCATACAAGATGAATAACGATGGTGCTGAAGCGCCCACAGTAAATATTGTCCTCAAGTATATTTACACAAAATATAATAAATAAATAACGCATACACTCATAGTGCCACACTAAGGAAACCGTGTGTCGCGGGTGCCTTGGACACACACATAGACAACCACAAATTACACCCAAACTTCCGAGAGAAATAAAATTGTAGGCCATATTTGTGCCGGCCCGGGAATCGAACCCGAGGCAAACCAGCATGGTAAACGTTCGGCCACGAAGGGAGATACTATATTACATCCTCCTCGGCGCCAGTGTGAGTTGAGTCTAAGATGGGTCGACGATCTAATTGACCGTTCATTTAGCAATTTATACAGTAGGCTCTCCAGCAGCTTTTAAAATGTACACATTAGAGCTTAGATCGAACGTTCCATTAAATTGAGCAATCTAGCAGATCGATTTAGTGTAACAGGAAGTGTTGACAATAGCGGCCTTTACACAGACAGTCTATCGCGCGTGATACAGCAATTGTGCGTGATTGAGCGTGCGTATAAAGACGTTGGAAGGAAAAGGGAAAAACCGCGGGATTGCGCGCGCACTCCGACACACGCCAGTTTCACGCGGTCTATCCTGCGCTATTAGCCTTTACACGGACGCGCGAGAGAACGTTAGGTCAACAAATTTCAAACAGGTAAGATTACGATCTATTCGCTCCTGATCACGCGCGATAGTGACTGTGTAAACGGGGCTATTGACTCATCTCGTTCTACGTATAACCAAAATCAATTGCATCAATGGACCTTAGATGAGATGGTATGGTCCAAAAAACGCCGCTACTTAAAAAAACAGAGATCTGTAACAAATGCGTAGGAAATTCGTAAAATCTGCTGACTATCTGTAGCTCACTTGGTAGAGCCCTGTTGGTTTGCCCTAAATTATTGTTTTCACGTAATAATTAACACCCTGATGTGCCCTTTAAATTAGGACCCAACTAATGGCCGATTAGGGGGTCTACTCCCGTTCAAGGTCTGACATTCGTCCGCAACGATTACTATTAAATAAGGACCTTCACAGTGCGACGCGGATGACCCACGCGGAGGTCCGTCGCGGTTGGTAAAATATATAATGCTTATTATTAATGGTTATTATTATGAGTGCGATGCGGTCGTGGAGAGCTATTCGCGCGCGGAAGCGCACTGGTTCTTACGTAATCATTCAGTGCACGGCGGTAGCAAGGCGTGATTGTGAATGATTTCACAATACAAAAATTGTTTATTGTACACCAAAAAAGGAAACAAATACAATACAATTAAATTAAAAAATAAGCGGTGATACAATGGGCAGTCTTATCGCTTTAGACGATTTCTGCCAGACAACCTTTGGATGGAAGTAATTTTATAATTCACAGGAAAAAGTCCTCGGTGTGTGAAAAATTACTGTTCAATAGATAAAAATCGTTAGTAATCTGTAATCCTGTCACTCGAATGTCAAATTAGTAATAGTAACTACTAATTTTCGTATTCGAATGATTTTAACGATCATTCTTTACTAATTAGTCATAGATACTAATCATAGATTCCCTAGAGCATTTCTGCTCGTGATCACCTATATAGTGGTAAATACTGTAAATGTGACGGCGACAGGGATATTTTGGTATGGACATGGTGAATGAGGTGTTCCGATATAATAATCATTTGACTCGTGCACCCGACCGAATGGCATTGACATTCGAATCATTCGACTTGAGTCGAATGATTGTGCTTGGATTCGACTTAGGCGAATGATTTGCCTATTCGAATACTTAGTATTAGTAACATTCGAAGTCGCGCGTCGCTACAAAGCGGTCGGTCGTGTGGAGCGGTTGTAAGGTACTGTCGCCGTCACGGCTGCGTCAATTGAAACCGAGAGGACCACTACGGCCATGCCTGTAGAATATCCGCGACGATTATCACAAAAATAATTTAAAATTCATCTTCCTGCACCTCCGAAAACAATGATACAAATTCTCCTTTAAAAAGTCTTTTCAGAACGATTGTATTTTACCTTGAGGCCATTTTTTACTGAATAAACAGGCGGCAATGACCACTTTATATTTTTATCCATAAATGTACCACGCCCGATCACGATTTGCGAGGAACTGAATGACAGTTCATCCGCAACAGACTTCGTACGCTCATCCGCGTCGCTCTGTGAAGACCCTAAGTACTATTCAACCAAATCAAAAAACAATGTCAAGTATGACCCTTCATTCGCATCATGCGTCTTTAACCCTAGAAAGATAACCTTATTTTAATGTACACAAAAGATAACCATACGCTTCGGAGGCGCATGACATATATATGATTTTTATTTATTTATTTACCTGCCTATTTTATTTACTGACCTAATTATTTGAATGTCAGGTTAATGAACTAATAATAAAAAACGTTTTTTAGGGAAAATATTAATATATTTCAAAATTTAAACTTAATTCAGTAACCTCCATGAAAAGTTTAACAAAATTAACAGTCTTCTTTCTAAAGAGGTTTTTAAAAAAAAAATAGTTCGTTTCTTACAAGCTAATTAAATCACTTGTTACACCTGTCAACTATAACATAATCAGCCTTAGTAATTAGTTTTTATTTGGCAAAAATTTGGTTTAGAGGCATTCATAACAAACATCATTTTTGTGCTCTCCACAAATTATTTTTTTGCATTTGGCGCACGTCATCTTCGACATTCTCTTCTTTTTACTTGTGCAAAAGGTGCAATACCACCTTTTCTTAGCTTGAGGTTCTTCTTCATCCTCAGCGGAGTTCTGCACAGCTGGTTTGGGTAGAATATTTTCAATATTATCTCGAAGACGTTTCGGCAAAGTAGGAGCTTCAAGTCTAACTTTCATCCACGGTTCTGATAATTTGGTACTCAATGTTTTCATGTAATTTCTTCTATTTAGCGGCTTTTCATTTTTCGAAAGGACGTTGTGACAATATATGACGTATGAATTGACAAAAGCCATGTTCAGTATGCCATATAGCATAGTCATGGGCCATCTGTTTGTCTTCCTTGTTATTGAATAATTATTCGGCGGTCATGACGTGATGTTTCGGAAGGTTCAGGGTTTTCAGAAGTTACAGGCGGTGTCACATCGTCTTGATTTAGAGTATCATTAGAATCTTCCAACGGCTCGTCATCGATAAATTCGTCTTCCTGATCACTCTGTACGTCATCAACGCTCAAATGATCTTCAGTCTCACTGTCACTTTCCTGGTGCTCATTTTCTTCATCTTGAGCCACCAATGCAAAAATATCATCATCGGTTAATATTCTTCGGCTCGTCATAGTGAAAACGCAATGATTTTATACTAAAACCAATAAAAAAACAAATTTTCTAAACTTTTTATGTAAATGTAACTCATATCTTACTTTTGCCGAAAGTCACACAAAAGATAACTATGCGCTCCTGGAGCGCATCGCCTAGCCATAACTCCAAAAATATGGTACTTACCGCATCAAAACGA